GTATTTATTACTTGATTATGACTTAAACCAAATTAAATGAAAATGTTATGTAATAACTTATACTAAAGACTTTTATTGTGTTTTAATACTTATGTAACATTGCATTAAATGCAAGATAAATGTCTACAAAATATATAATTATAATATTTTAGCATTAAATGCATAAGATTATTGTTATTTCAATATTAAATGTTATAAAATATTTATTTAAAAATAATTGTATATTTGAACTATATTTTAAAGTTACTGTATTAAAGTTACCTTTTAATAAAAAATAAAATCATCAACTAAAAATTGACATATTCATTATCATTTTCAAGTCCAAATATAAATATTATAAATTCAATTTTAGGTAAAATTATATTTAAATATTTCATTTAAATATACTTATAATTCCTATGGCTTTCAGTGGCAGGGATTACCATTAAATTAAGTTTCAAAATTATTAAGACTTTAAATCAAAAAACACATTTTATTAATTTATTTATATAAATATTAAATAATTTATACAAAATATAGTTCAGCATTTAGCTAGAAATCTGACCACATTTTCAACCCTAATGCCATTTGCATTGCTTTTACTATTAATACAAAACTTGTATCGTTTGCCACTATTTAAAGCTTTAATTATGATATAATCAATAGAAATGGACTTTTGATTGGTTGCGGTCCTGGCGTTAGAGTTGGCGCCGAGTTTGATGTCAATCCCCGTCTGTTTCAACAGTGAATCCAAAGCCCAGGTATTGGTGTTTAAGATGTCAAACGAGTCTTCACTCCATTCGTACTCAACGTATGAGTCAATTGCCGACAGATTCTGTTCACTCCGAAGACTAAACACTGAATAATAGGTGTTTCCCGGCTTTATGTCAAACGCACTGTTAGTTTATAAAAATTATTTTTAGTTTTATAATTGCATTTTAATTATATTTAATAAATTTTAGTATTACTCTCGGGTAAAATCCATGAATTCGGTTTCCAATGGGAATCTCAATGACATTCTTCCAGTTAAATGACTTTTAGATTCATTAGTTTGTATTGCGTTCACATGTATTGACACCTTATATTGAAAGCCTGTCAATGAAATAAAGATTTAAATTTTTATTGAATACCATAATACTGTAGAAGTTTTCAAACATGGGTATTAAATAATTTAAAATCCAAAATAACAACATATTTAGCAAATAAATTAAAAGAGAAATAATTTGTTTTAATAAACCTCTACAGTATTTAAGTTTAAATAGATTACTAATTAATGTAGAATTTACAGCAATATAAATTGTGTAAAATTTAAATATTATAATAATAATATAAATTAAAATAGTGTTTTACCACAAAACGGTGGTTCCCCTCGAGTCCTGAGATAGAAGTTCTTGGAATTCCTACGCTTACGGAACCAGTCGATGGAATGGTAGCCCATTTGGGCGCACAGACGACCCCTTTTGCCGCACGACTCGCA